CAAATTTTTGAAATTAAAAATTAGATTCTGACTGCTTCTTTGTCAAAACTTGTGCCTTACACTAATATCTAATTTTATGAGGTTAATGATTTTAAATTTAATGTTGAAAGGACAAATACACCATTAAAAGAAATAATGTCTATTTTTTCAATTTATATTTATTTTGTGTGGTATAAAAATGTTGGTTCCTTGTTTGTCAAGAACTTTTACCCCAGAGAAGCATGGTTTAATTATAGCTCATATCAGATTTTTTCACTGTAATGTTTCAATTGTCCAGTTTGTCCATTTTTTCTTTTTCTTTTTTTTTTTTTTAATCACGGTCTTTATTTATTGTCCTCACAGTTTTTCCCTCATCTGTCTAGTTTTCCTTATAGCATACATGCTCACATCTCAGAGCTCTTTCCTACATCTTTGCCAGTAGTCTTCTGTGCTTAGATCCTTTCATTAATGCTAAATTCCTGCCCAGGAATACTCAAGTTTTTTCATCACATCTGATGCTTTTCTTTTCAGCCTGCATTTTCATCACTGCTTCTGTGGCTGTATAGTGACACTGGATCATTCACTCTTTTTTAGATTTATGCCAAAGGATGGAAGGAGGAGGTTATGCTTTCCTGCTCAGATTTGAATACTGGGCCTTCTTTGGGTATAGGCCCAGGAAGATTCACATGGACATAATTTTGTAGGACTTTCTTACTTTTATGGACAAGGTATCTGAAGCATTTGGGACTTGCAGACGCTGTAACAGAAATAAAATAGAGTATTAAGCAGAAATGAAAGACTGTTCTTGTTATTGGTAATAACACTTAATGTCACCTTTTGGATTTAGCAATATAAGATCTGAGAATTTTTTCTTTGGGGACAAGAGACATGACAGATGTTAATATTAATGTTTACCTCATGGATATAGTGTCACTTACTACCAATAGGGAATTATATTTCAAACAAAGTCCTTGAAGATATTCTTAGGTTTTTCAGGTATTATTTCTAATAAATTTGTTATGTGACTGTTGTCTTCTTATTTCTTGTAACTTGAAATATAATACTCCTTAGGAACTGTCACTGTTTTGAAATTGCTTTCTCTTTCTGTTGATAAGTACATGTCCTAAAAAGTGCATTTGGGAGTGTTGCACTTCTCTAATGACTTCAGTGGGATTCTAGGTGGCTGCTCAGACTTTAGGTTATTGTGGCAGTATTGGTGCTGAGGGAAAGAAGAAAAAAAGAACACAAAGTAAAACAGGACTGTGACTGTTCTCTTGCAATGAAGCTTAATAACACAGGCTGTGTACATTACATAGCGCTTGGCCTTGTACCTCCTCTGGACCCTGTGTAGTACCCAGTCGAGCTCAGATTTCATTATTTTGTTGGGTTTTTTTCTCTTCTGATTTCATGAAATAATGTGAAAGATGTATTGAAGCCCAATGGAGCAGTGTTATCGTGACACAAAAGAAAGTTGCGTACTGTAGAGTGTGTAGCATGAGGCTGTTTCGGGACCTTAATGATCCTCAGGATGTGGAATAATGTTGAAGTACTATGTAAAGTGTGAGGAGACAAGCCTGGTTCACTCTTGTCCATACTGCCTGCTGGGAAGGATCCCTGGTGAATGTTGTTAAGTCCAGCTGTGGGTTACGTGTTATATGAGAGAGTCCTATTTTTCCCAGACCAACAAAATACCAGGGAGAGTGCTAAAATTTAGCAGTGTGAACTGTCGGTGTCCCAGGGATCATATTTACTCCCCAGCCCTGTTTTGTTTAACAGCCTGGAACTGCAGCAGATAATAGTTAGAGAGGACTTCTGATAATAATCTGTAAAATTGCCTTTCAAGGAAGGGAAGCAATTATAAAATAGATTCTGAACAACTAGAAAGTCGGTGGATTTTTTAATGCATATGGGGTACAAGGTTTTTTGTGAGTGTAGAAATGCAGAAGCAGCAGTCATCACCTTATATCTATATATACTGAGAACATATACTTCTTTTTATGCAAAATAGGGGTTTTTTTAAATCTAAAATTCCCTAATAATCACAGATACGTGAGTTTATTTCTGCTCTTGGGCTGTGTCTAGAGCTCAATTTGTCCCTGTTTTGGCAGCTGTTAGGCAGACCAGCTTAAGGTAATTTTATATTCTATGGTGGTTTCCCTCTTGGAACCATTCAAGATTTTATCTGTGTCCTCTGGCAATATTAGGGAAGTTGGGACTGATAGTCTAGCATAAAAAAAATTGGGAGTGGCAAATGAGCAAGATATTGTTAAAGAAAAAGAAGAGCAAGTTCTGTATGCAACATTATGTAGCAGAAAGATAAAACAACTGCTTACTTTATCACCTGATTATACCAATATGTGTGTTGAAAAATGAAATGACATGCAGGAAATCTACCTCTTTATAATCTGTGTTCCATAAAATTGTTTGCTTGGTTTAGGAGTATTTTAAGATAGATCACTGAGATTGTTCACGTGCTGCATTTAATTAGAAGACCATACATATATCAAAGAACAAGCTGCTCCAAATTTGTAAAATTAGTCTTGGGACACAGTCTGTAATTTTGGCCTTAAGGCCACTGCTCACTCTGCTTTAGGCGAGAGTTTTCTTTATATAAAAAATGCAATCTGAGTTTCAGTGATGCCATGATTGATTTCTTCAACCATTTGACTTCAGTATAACACAGAACACTTTGCTCCTTAATGTAGTTACAGAACACTGTGGATATTTATCTCTTAACAATAAGATAATGAAAAAAATCAGCATTACTGAGAATACCACAGTATGTTTTCATAAGGTTTCACAATCCCAGATTAAGCAATTTGGAGAAGAGCAAAAGTTTAACAGTTGGTGTTTTTTTTAAAGAAATATTTCTGCATGTCACATGCTATAGGTATATAGGAATCATTTCTACAACCCTATATCAAAAGAAAGTACGGATTTACTGTATATCTTTTAATCACCTCTGTGTTGGGGGTCTTCTTCAGGTTATTCAAAACCCTTTTTTTATTTTGTGTGTATGTAATAGCTGGCAATATTTGTAAGGAAAATAATATGTTTTACCATATAGGTAATTCTTAATCTCTGTGAAAATATAATTTCCACAACATGATGATTGTACTCTGTGTCAGATTTTTTCAGATGAAAGAATTATCTGTTCATCTCTTTCTGGTTTCAATAAGGTTCTGTAAATGAAATTAATATAAACATCATTATAAGTGGCTAGTATCGTGCTTCTAAAGAAGAAGTTAGCATAAATCTTGGGATTCAGTTATCAAAAGTATAACTTAACCTGAACAAGTAGAAGAGGACTTCAAGATTTACTGCTAATAAATAAAGAAAGAAAGTCCATGTTTTGCATCCCCTGCACAGGAGAAGTACAAAACTTAATGAGTTTATAATAACTCACCATGCTGGAGAGTTCCAAGAAAGTAAGTGAGGGGGTGGAGAAGAAAAGCTAATGAACTTGAGTGCAGTGGAACCTGATGCTCAGTTCTTGGCTCAGCAGCAAGGGTATCACTTCCTACCTCATATATATTTCTTGTGTGAAACCTGTTGCCATATATATTATGATATGATATTATGCTGATGTGCAGCTATACTTACAGTTATTCTCAGCACCACTATCAGGTGATATGCAAAAGCAAGATGTTGAGAGAACTGAGTTAAAATAAATGTTTTAAAATTTGGCACAGAGCTTGATAGAAGATGTGGTATGAAGGGTAGTCACCTGGTCAAGTGTTTGTACCCAGTTTAAACTCCTACATTCAGATATGCATGTGAAAAGTAGTCAGTCCTATGGGCTAAAGCATGCCACACTAGCTGTATTGTTGCACTAGATTTTCACAAAGTGCCACAGACTTCATTTTTCCATGGATGATGATAAACCCATTTAAGTCTGTAGTCACAGTGGTAAGGAAAAAGAAGAAATTTTCTGGTTTGTTTGCAATGGGAAGAGAAACCCAGCAGATGTATTTTTGCACTTATCACTTCTGTTTTATTTCGTTAAAATCTCCAAATCCACAACTCCACAATTTGGAAACTGTGTGATGTTAATCATGGGCAAGCAGGATGAGAGAAGAACTCTTTTCTTCTAATCTCTCTTCCTGTTTCTCATTCCCCATCTCTCACTCTCCACAGCTGCGCATGTCTCTGATTTCTCACTGTCTCCATTTTTGTTTATTTCTGGGCTCTTATTCAGGGGCTAATATTTTAAATTAAATTTTACACATATTATCATAGCATTTCTTCCCCTGCACTCTCTTTATGACCATTTCTTGGACTTAAAGGGGTATGGGTGGCAGATTCCTATCCTAATTAGTGCCTATAAATATTCTTGAAATGTGCCTGTAATGAACATTAGCATTCCCAGTGATTGTAATATATGCCAGATGAACATGTAAGAAAAGACTGGTTTTCTCTTCCTTTTCCTTCTCTTTCTCCACCCCTCTTCCCTTCTCTTCTTCTACCTGACCTGTTCATAGTAGGAGTCTCTGTCCGGTGTCCTTTCAGACGTTGTCTGAAAGCTCACTTGATCTATGAAACATGTCACAAACAGTAAAACATGAAAGTCTTATTTTAACATTTACTAAAGACCTTTTAATGTTTTCCTGAGAATCAAGAAGTTTTCGTGTTTTGGATGAATTCCACAATAGATATTCTCATATTTCCAGATATTCCTATTTACAGGTGTCCTTGTATTACCAACAATATAACATGGGATTAAAACAATTTACAAACTGGGCCCAAAATGTTTTTCAAAGTTCATTTAGACTCTAAGATAAGTTCATAAATTTAAATAGACTTATTTATGTAACGTTAATTACTTCCCCTGCCTCCTCTTTTTTCTCCGTTGGCCACAAATGCTTCATGTCAAGTTTTAATTCTCAGTTGTGCATTTTCACAGATTAGGACTGTCTAGTTTTAAGATGTCCCATGCTTCTACTCGACAGGAAACAAACGATAACTTTTTTTTTAATTATTTTTTGCTTCATTAAAATGTTATTCTGGTTTTGATATTTTAGATAATACAGCCAGTATCCTGACAAGACGAAGGAGATACAGTCGAACTACTCAAGATATCTATTACCTCCCGGTTGTGATTTCTGATGGTGGAGTGCCCCCTCTCAGCAGCAGCAGTACTCTCACAATTAGGGTTTGTGCATGTGAGAGAGATGGACGAGTGAGAACTTGCCATGCTGAAGCTTTCCTCTCCTCTGCTGGCTTGAGCACAGGAGCTTTAATCGCAATCCTGCTGTGTGTTGTCATTCTTCTTGGTAAGCCCTTTTCAGTATTAAGAAATGCTATCCTTCCACTGACTGTTTGAATGTGACAGGGCAGAAATTTTTTATATGATATAGTTTTGAACCAAAGGCTGCCTGGTAGTAGGAGGTAATTAGAACCACATAGCTGTGATTAGAGGGGAAAGGTTTAGTTAAAATTAATAGGGGAAAATGCCTTTAAAGTACATTCATGGATATCTGGAATTCACTAGAAATTATTTTTCAGAGGTTATCAAGTAATTAGCGCTGCAGATCTTTTTTCTGTAATTTGGAAAGGTTTCAAAAAGCCACTGACTCTAATTCCATGTCTAGAACAGTGTGAAAAATTATAGAAAAGAGAGGAGAAAAGATTTTTGAAATGCATTACACTGTAAGGAATACCATTAGCACTGTACAAAAGCCATTTCTTAATTACTTTTGTGGGGTAAGCTGATAGCAATGCACAGCATAATCCACAGGGGAAAGGGACATATGAGACTGTAAGATGACTCCATTAGATAAATGCCCTTGTAAGTGCATTTTCTCTTCACTTTTTTCCTTCTTTTTTTTTTTTTTTTTTTTAAATCCAGGCCGATTTGAATGTTACTCACTAGTTTTATGGGTTTTTTTCCTACAGAGGCACAACTTGCTTGGTACATATCTCTCTAGTATTCATGTGCCTTTCTGCATTCTTATAGAGAGAGCAAGAGATAATGGGAATTGCACTGTGACCCACATAGGACATACTGAGGTTTTTTTTCTGAATGCTCTACATTATCTAAAGGTTACTTTCCTCACAGATTACTTCAGAACTCCCTTGTCAGAAAGCTGTCTGGAAATGCATAGTAAAGCATTTAGTTTTGTCGTGGTTTAACCTTATGTAGCAATTA